TTTTTTGTTCGAAAAAACTTGATATTAGTCAAATTTCAGTAGTAGAAATTTTAAAATTAATCATAATCTCAAAAAATATCATCCTTCCTTATATATTTCCGCAGTTTTTGCTTCAAAGTAGCAAATTGAAGTCAATAAATTTAATAGAAACAATAAGATAGTGACTACAATCATTTCCAGGTTTGAGAGGAATTAAATTAGTGTAGAAAGGACTTTTTAAGAAGGATTCATAACCTCACAATTTGATTAGATTGTGATAAGTCAGAATTGAGTGTGAGAAACAGATGAAAAAGCGTCTAAAAGGCGATAGAAAATGCCTTTCAAGGCGTTCTGAAGTGTCAAAGATTGTGCTGATTTGAGGCACACTATCTCCCCCTTTGATACACCCCTCGAAGGGTGGCGCTGGTAGTAATACAGAAATATTGAGGATAATTTATTGGGTGGCCGAGGCGGTTGGGGAAGGGACTTTGCGCCAAAATGCAATTTGTCACTCAGCACAGAAAGTATTTTGCTGTCTCACGCGCCACCCAGAGATTTTCCACTGTTCCTCGCCGCGGGATGACAGACACTCTCAATGGGGACACTCCAGAGATTTCCCCCCTCAGTTGGACATGTCTGGCAATTTCTAATCATCTCCCAGAGTCGCTCTCCAGTTGAATACCTCCAGACATTTTCCGGTGGGGGTGTTTGTGTTCCATCCAGGAAATTCCTGGATTTTCCATGAAGCGTCAAGACAATGAGCTTATTGAATTGTCACCGAGCGGAAGAGCTTTCGAAATCCACGTGGGAAAACGAGGAGTGGCTGAGAAGCGCCTCGTGGAGAAGAAAATGGTTATTTCCACTTTATTGCACTTCAACAGCTAAGCAATTAAGCGCAAGGGAATTCGATGCTTTTCCACCCATCACAGCATCCAAAGACACAGTTCCCCAGGATGTCGCTCAAATTTCTTTCAATTACACCAATTCCAGTGCCATTGATCCTCGGCCGGGGATGAATGTCACACGTATCCTTGGGTAATTGAATTATCGGCTCGAGGGCAGCTTCGATACGCCATGAGTGCATTTGATTGAGCGCATTATTCAATTATGCCAAATCGGAGTTTCTCTGTGATTGCAGATTGCCACTTAACTTGTAACACCTTGCAGGTGTGAAATATTGATGAGGCTGCAAATCGCCGGCAAGCTGCGGAACTCCGTACAAAAGGAGGCCATACTTTTCCGGCATTAAACTCCAGCGATGGTGTGGCAAATGGCAAATAAAAACACTTTCGGTGAACTCCAGCATTGCAGAGAGAAGTATGAAACACACACATAAGTTTCAAAGTATGAATTCATAGCTGAAGACTTGCAGTTTTATGTGCGCCTGACTTTGCAATATTGAGTCTCTGATGAAAAAAAAGCTGTGCTTTAAGCTTGTGTCAGGAAAAAAAGTGTGACTTTAAAACCAGTCGCTTCTAACTCTAAATATCTCGAGGCTATTTTCAGTGCAACAACATCAAAATAAGCAAGAACATTGATATGCAAACGTCACAACATTTGCTCTGCTAGTAAAAGTTTTTATTGGAAAACTGAGAATGTGATAAATTCGATTGGAAAATTGAGTCTTTCTAAGCTAATTAAGCTGACTTATAATTAAACTCAAGGGGAAAGTCAGTAGTCGATTTAAGAGAAGAGAATTCGAAAAGGATTCAAAAACTGTTTTTTTCCAACTAAAATTGCTACATAAATAAAATTATATTTAAATATATTCTGAATATTAAATTAATTGCTTTTTTCACGCCTAATCGCCTTTAATCTATAAGTTGTCTCTGTGAAATTCAATCGGAACTTCTGCATGCCTTTAGAGTTTAAACTGCTGCCATCTGGTGGCAATATGTGAAGAAAATAATAGAATTTTCAAATATATTTAAATTTTAATGAAGTAGTCAGAAAATCATTTAAAATTTCAGAGAATAATCAAATATTTAAATATTTTATGACATAATAAAGAAAAATCAATGGAAATTTGTATGGAAAAACAACAAAAAAAAATGTATTTAATGATCCGGAATCGCTACTGATTTTCCCCTTAATTAAACTGAATTGGGAAAAAGTTGCTACAAACAACAAAAGGAATTTATTATGTCAATTAATAGAGAAAACATGGAAGTTTTCGAGTATTTTGCATTGAAAAGTGTACAGAAAACAACTTCAACCCAATAAATACATTCGACGACAGTTAAATAGATAAATCTAAGCATTGTCCTGTGTTTTGTGACGACAAACCTTTGCGCTTTGTGTGATCGTAACTTTGTGTCAGATTTTTATGCAGATTTCCACCCACTTTTCAGGCTCTCCGCGAGTGTTTCACAGAACCACAATCGAAATTACAAATTCTGATAATTTATTTTCAATGGGGAGTCGATATTCTCTCTTCATATGTTTGGGGCTGTGCAAAAATGTCGAGAGGGTGTGCGGTTGAGCTCGCCTATCGTGCATAAACGCAAAAATCAATATCTGGTACTACAAGGCGAATAAATGTGCAGCGAGTGGAGCTTTAATCTTTGGGGAAATTTCATATTCTCCCCGAACGCAAGGAGATAATGGGGCTGAGATGGTGGCGAGCGCAGCCTGAGATATGGGCGGAATGATGGAAACTGGGCCACAACCGAGCCCTTGTACACTTGCACAGTCAACTTTGCACAATAAATGTTAATCTAACCCAGAGTTTTGTGGGATTTACCCGTGGCGAATTTGGCTGGAGGAGAAAATTGCTAATTAATTTCCACCCAGAGCTTTATGGTTAATTTCTGTGTTAATTGATAAATATTGTCCTCTGTGTGCACAATTTCCTTTTTCAAAGTATACATTTCGTCGCTTTCAGCACACATATTGCATATATTTTGCAATCTCCGCCCCGAAGCGTTTCGCGGAAATTCTCTGTGTCATTTTCCATTTACACGCAGAAGTTATATTTAATTTTGCGAGATTTGCACGCGTGTGCATAAAAAAGAACAGGATATTTCAGTCAAATTGATTCATAATTAAAAAACACCGTCCGCAATTCTCCTCCGAATTGTGCGGTGTTGAATCCTTTGGTGGAAATTCTCAGCCCACAATTTTGTGATTGCATCCATAAACAGTGGCATTTTCGCAACTTCAGCTCAACTCCTTGAGAAAATTTCCGAGTGGGTGAATTGTAGTCAGAAATAAGCATGAAATTGCTGAAATCTCATACTATGGGATGCATTCGGGCCGCAAAGCGGAGCAATTTTCCATTCATTGTCGAGCAGCCTTTCCATTGTGCTCGAGAGGCTCTCCGCCAAGATCATGACTGCCACAGGAATGCCAGTTGGGGAGTGTCGGAATTATTGCAGACATTCTCGTGTCGGGGAGAGCAGTGCATCTCCAGGGACGCCCCGAGAGACGGTCTGAATGCAATCGATAAGGTGAAATATTGCCCCACATGATGAGGATGCTCCACATGAAATTCTGCCATGGAAATCTGATATGAGCGCAAAGCGAATAAATTTTCATTGCTTTATGGCCACGAGCATATATGCGAAAGTGGATGTATTGCGTGTGTCTCGCGAGGCCAGCCTGTTCCCGCCAAGGGAAGGATAATATGCCCTTAATCTGTACACCTGATAATCTCTGATAACCACTAATAGATCTGAAAAAGACTCAGTTTGGAAGCTTTATTTACATGGAAGCTCACGAAAACGATATTTTCTTCTCCATACCATAGATCATGCTAACGCCAGCACAGTCTTCCTTCTTGTTGACATTTTTATGTCGCGATAAGAAGATATGGAGGGCCTCCAATGCTTCCAATTTGTCAATGAACTTAAAACTGCTGATTAAGAGCCAAAATCGTCCTGAAAGCTCTCTAAACAAACATTTTCCAAGTCCAAATTAATATTTTTGAGGTTATGTTCGAGATTCAGTGCAATTTGCGGTGTTTCTTGGCATCAACGGTGCAGAAAAGCAATGTTAACTGCATGAAAATGCCTAATTATGTTAATTACGGCGATTTCTCTGACTTAAGCATAAGAATTGATGTGCTGGAAAGACTCAGAAAAGAAATACTGTAAGTTTTTCAACACTTCCATTGAGCTGTACACCACTTCTGACTATCTTAACTTCCCCTTTGGCTCCCACAGAAATTACCATGCTTAAGAGCTGAACCAACTGACCATGAAACCGTGAAGATCACGAGTGAAATGATAGCGAATTTAGTGTTTATTTTGAAATATTTCAAACAAATTAAGGAGGTGTTGATCACATAAATAGTTTTGAAGCCAAAACTATTACAGTTCATGTTTCACATTATTAATTGGACGAGTGCGAAAATGAATTGATAATGAATTAGGGCTTAATTATGCAAACTAAATATTAGAGTGCAATATTCACCAAAACACATGGGCCACACATAGCGCACAATTTATAATGCATAAATACTAATAATAGGGAGCATATTTGAAATTATTTAATCACTTTTACGACCCCAATAAATCCCACAGCATTCAACTTGGAAGACGGAAAACGCGTCTTTTCCGCAGTGTAGCTTTGGCTGACGAAAGAAGTTAAGTGGGTGGATGGTGGAGTTGCATGAGAGATGTGTTGAGCTTGCTCCTGAAGTGTCCTATTAATTTCCATCAAGTATTCATGAGAGTGTTTGTGAGTTATTGCAGAGGAGCGGGATAGATTCAAGTGTAAAGTAACCATATCAGCCACGACGATCGGATTACCCTTTAAGGAGCTTCCTTCCAAGACAAATAACCACACTGAGCGATGATCTTGAGCCATTCACCATGAGCACAGGAGCTTTTGTATCTCACACATTCTCTCCCACCCACCGTAATCCCCACCAAGAGGATTATATTAATTTGTTCTTTTCCACCCCGTTGGAGAACTCATGGCCCACCCCAACCCTTGACAAGCTCAGGCTGTATAGCGTCAATTGTATTGCTATTATTGTCACATCATGACGGTAAATATGCTCCTCGCTCTCTCTCTCTCTCTGTTGGCTCTCGATGGCCGGCAAATTACACTTTTTCGCACGAGACACTCCGTGTGGGGGTGGTTGGAAATGTTGGTCAGTCTTTGGGCAGGGCGCTGTCGCTCTTCCCGCGGCTGTACACCCGCGTGCCGCCCAGCATTCGGTCCAGCAGACTCTGCTTGCTCTTCCGCCGCGCCGCCAGCACTTCGCGACACAGATCGTGAAACGTGTCCGCCACCTGGCCCACGTGCTCCGCCGCCGACACCTCGGAGAACTTGCACTCCAGATCTTTGGCCAGGATCTCGCCCTCCTCCGTGCTCACCTGCAGAAGCACAAATGATTATTTTGACTTAAGCCCCGCCCACGCCTAAGCTCCGCCCCGCTGGGAGCTCTGGAGCTTCCAGCGCACCTGCCGTCCATGGATCATGTCCACTTTGTTGCCCACCAGCACCACAGGTGGCGCATCCGCTGGCAGGCTGGCTCTCGTCCTGCGGACGTAGTTGAAGGATCTCCGGTCGGTGATTGAGTACACGAGCAGCAGCCCATCCGCCCACTGGACAGCCTCCGTCTGACAGCTCATCTGCTCCTCGTCCTCGTCGGCCTGGGGGTGACAAAGCAAGGGTGAGACGATTGCCTTTAATAGATTAGATACCGAGGCGTGGTGGCGCCCATGTTAGACATGGGATTTCGGTCTACAACCTTGTTCGCCATCAAGTGAATTATTTCACCCACAAACCTGTGGTGTGATTCACAAACAAAATCTATTTAATTCAGTGGCCACCCCCCAAGGGTGCCAATGAGGAGCAGCTCAGTTCAGCACAAACAACTGACAATTATTCAGGCTTCATCAGTCGCTTCGTGCCCACTGGGCGGAAAATGTGCAGTGTTGGAGGGAAATGATTGGAGGTTATCATGAGATAATTTGAGCCTTGCCGATGCTCATGTGGTATTTTATGCCACAGTTACTCCAAAACACTTCAACTAAGGATGGACCATTGATTCCTAATCCACAGAAGTCATCCTAAGTCACAATTTTCCTTATTTATCCAACGCAAACAGTGACTCGATAGCGCTCATATTGACTTGAAGTTCCGCTAATGATTCTCTCAGCGCCTTAGATCCTGGCGATAGAGGCGCAAAGACACGGAAGGAAAAGTCTCCTTTATTGCCAATTTCACAAGCGACAATCATGAAGTTTTAATTAATTCAAAATTACCCGCCAATTAAATCTGAAAAGTGTTTCTCGCATAAATTAGCTGACTGAGCGCAAATTAAAGTTTCAGCATCACACCCTGACGCTCTTCTTGTCTACAATATCCACCTATGAATTATTAAATTTAATCACCATCTTCGCAATATTGATTGAATGTGGGGGATGGAAATTGAATTGCGTCTGGGCGAGAATTCAAATATTGCCATGTGTCAATCAACAGTCACCACGAATGCTAATTGCTCATATTTCATCAAGGTGGAAAGGGCCCTGAATAATTGATCTTCCTCTGATTTTCCTTGCAAATCTCTCACCCTGAGTTTACGCTTCGGGGAATCGCTATGTAGGCGGTAAAGAGCGACGACGGCGGATTTTATCTAATCTGATGACAGACAAATTTGTAATCAATATTGCGTGGTGGATGAATTTCCAATTTGAATATCCTCTATACGTCAAAAGCCACGCAATTCACTCAGCATTTGGCAATTTGCATTTTCGGCAGTGGCACAAATTTGGCTGATTTTCCTATTTGATATCTCAATATGCGCGCATGGCGATTCTTCCACATCTCAGCGTGTCAATTAATAATTCCCACTCGCTGGCCAATTTATTCTCTGAGTGTTGAAGAACACGCCAGAAAATATTGACTTGGGTGAGAAAGACTCCTCAATCTCTCAGCAGAAATCAGAGCACATGGCGAGCAGCACTTCGAGCGATGCGTACTAAATAAAAGCGCTGTAAGCGCGGAAAACACTCACGAACCTTGGGGCAGGTGTCCAAAATTTCAAATAGCACAGGTTCATTGTCAACCACAGCTTCGTGTCGGTAGCGATTCTCTGTGGACGAGAGAGCAAAAGTGGAAAATGGTGAAGACGTCATCATTAAAAGCAATTGGCAAGTGCACTCTCTCGGGCTGCATGTTTATGAAGGCATTGACAAGGCACGAAGGAAGTCCGAGAGCTGAATCACTTTGATAAATTAATATTTCTGTCATATGCACACGAGACACACGAGCGACATAAATTACTAATAAACATCCAAAGGCAAAGCGTTTTGAGTGTCACACAATGGAAAATTAAAATTTTCCATCTGAAAATACATTTGAATGCCACAATTTCGACATTTTCACTCTTTACAACAAACGTGAATCGAGTAGCAAGTCACGAGGCGATTTTTGAGGAATCCTAATCGTGTTAAAATTGGAATAAAATAATCAAAAAATGTTTGTTTTCCAAGTAAATTTGAAAAAAGAATCACAATTTGAATATTTTTACGCAAAATATTGTAATAAATCCAATTAAATTCAAATATTTTCCGGATATTTCATTGAAATTTAAATATTTGATTATTTTTTCTGAATATCGTCCGCCAGAGGGCAGCAAAGTCGGCGTGGGGGACGCTAATAATATAGCATTTTGCATTATTTTCTCTCCTTTCTCTCGCATTCTCACACTTTTTGACTTCCTGGCCAGGAAAAAAGGAAATTTGAGGGGAAAAAACTGATCTCATGATCAGCTTTTTAGCTTAAAAGCATGGAAAAGTTCCAATTGTATTTTCCAAAGGCAAAATTGGATTTTGAGGAGTTCGAATCCATTTGAAAATATTGTCAAAATCATGAGAAATCAAGAAATCAAGGAAAAGAACTTTCCCTTTGGCGTGAAGACTCTTAGTTTTCTATCGAAGAATAGAAGAAACTGCCTCGGAAATTGATCAAAGATCCACCTTTTATTAAGGAAATTGTCAAATAACATGTAAAACAGCAAAATGCCTAATTTATTGTGGTAATATTCATTAAAATATTTACGAAAGAATTTCCTCTTAACCGTCAAGACATTCTAAAAAGCTACGCTATTTTAACAGGCAATAAACTGCACGAGCAAAATGTAGTTCAGAAAAAAGTCTGTTTGTGCAGATTAAATACAGAAATTACTTTAGCTTCTTAACTTATATGGCTTTAAAGCACTCAATGGGAATGTTAAAGTAAAGAAAGCTTAATGACTGTCTGCAATACATCTCTCTTTCTGTCGAGTGGCTCAAAAAGCACCCTTAAAATATTCATTGAATCTCCGAGAGACGAAGACTTAAACACTTTTCATCCGCCATACAAATGCCAAAAGTCATCAAAGCTGAAAAATATGGCGTGTCCTATAAAACCTCTTCTGTGGACATTCTCTTTGCAATTCAATCTCTATATGTAAATTAATTCCCTCCAAAAGCAAACACCGTGGAATTTTTCTTCATTCCTTTCGGTGGTGAGGCGCCATAAATTGCAGCCAGCGCACGTGTTTGTATTTCCACCGAAGGAAAAATATAATTCATGCCAAGTTTCGCCGTGGCAAAGCGATATAGGGGGAGGGGGTGGAATTAATTGAAACATTGCAAATTTAGCGCTCACCTGAGGAATGAGGGTGAATTTTTGCCATACATCACAATTCGCGTCGTTATTTATTATTTACACGGCGAAATTAAGCTGAATTCTGTCATTAGAAGAAATTCAATTGTGTTATTTATAGACAGAATGTTTACATCTCATTTGTGCCACTCAAATTTCCCTCTTCAAGCACGTCAACAGCACGAATCGTCCACGGAACGCAATTAATTGCAATCTTCCATGGCAAAAAAGAGTGATTCTGTCGCATCATCAATCGGAGAAAATGCATTTAATTGGACTTGTGTCACTCCCAGGACTCACTCTCCAAGAGAAGGACACGTACACTGGGGCAACAATGATGTCCTGTCGGGAGATGCAGTGAGCCGGGAATTCCCGAGAGACGCCCTGTCTTCCCGCCTCTCGGTGCGTTTCAGTTTCACACACGGAATTTATGGGTGTAAATAATCGAAGGCAATAAATTAACCGTAACGAACTGATACGTTGTCTATATTTCTATATTTTCCCACACCAATCTTGCGTCATATTTTATCATCTTTGGCGCATGGGAGAAGTGGCAAGCTTTCGGGTGTGTAGCAATTACATATGAAAGAGGATAATCGCGTATTTGACTCAATGTGGAGCTTTTGCACCCCAAAACTGAGTTGAGGCAAAACGCCACGGAAAATGTTCATAGATTAAATTATGAGTCGTTGCAACATTATGGATTTCTTAGTGTAAAGTACGAATGAAATACGAACGAAAAGGCGTTGCAAGGCAAAGTTTGGAGTTTATTTAATACGAATTTTAGCTGTAAGAAAGCCATTTCCTCACGTCTAACCTTTGGGGTGCTGTCAAAGAGCGAGATTTGCTCTGTGATCATCTTTTTATAGGCAGAATATTTCAAGTTTCTGGCCATTTTTCCCCTCGTGGAAGTTAAAAAATGCTCTTCACTGTAAATGACACGCAATATTCTGACTGATCTCAAGGAACTTCCCGGAGTTTTCCGTGGTTTCTAAAGGATGTTTTGAATTGCAGTGACAAGACATATTCATCAGCGACATATCCTGTCATTTTGTATGTTTCCGATGAGATTCTTTAAGGATTCCGCCGTAGATCAGAATTTCCGGAAAGAAATACGTGAGAAATAAATAGAATAAAAACATAGTTTTCTTTTTAAATGTATTAACAAATGCTTTGGGAAACCATTAGTTTCCTTGGCAAACATTTGCTTAGCTAGAAGCATTGTCTATTTCTTTGGTTTTCACGCGTATTTTCCGAATTTTCTTGTCTTATTGCGAGGAAATATAAGAATTAATTTCAGGCGCCAATTCTTGAAACGTTTCACGCTATGAATTACAATCTTACAACGCAGAAATATCAATTAATAACTTTGACAGCTTATTTAAAATGTTATGAAAGCAAACTTGCAACGACCATTTGGACATAATTTATCAATATTCTACTTTGTGATTAGTGCGATTGGGTTGCAAATCCTTCCGAAGCTTCAACTGGATCGCGTGCAACTCTGGAGGAGCAACTCTTTGGCCGGGATGGAGCATGCGAGAAATCGGGTCGCACGAGACAAATGAGGCGGGAAGTGGGTGAGAGATTTTGCATATAAATCCTCGAGGCATGAGCTCAACAATATAAATGTTATCCAGCAATTTATGATTTTCACTTACCAGAATGATGATCATATTCACCGATGTATCGCTTTGTTAAAAATCGCACCGTCAAGGCTGTAAATTGTGCCAAATGACGAGGAACCAGATGGCGGCCCGGCAAAGAGAAGAGCAGAGAAGAAAAGTTGGGGGTCAGAATTGAGAGATTGCGGGGAAGAAAAGCGTCCGGGGGGGGGGGGTTGGGGAGAAAAAAGGCACAGAATGAGGGAATTAATGAGGTTTTAACTACGTCGTTCGCCACTGACGAAGTTGTACAAGAGCGAGGACAATATTTGTGGGGGATGAAGTGGAAATTCAGTGTCATGTTTATTGGCTGGGTCCTTAATTTAAAGTCACCATAGCGTTGGACCACTCACAGGAGTGTGTCAACAATTTAATGTTCCTCATCTTGTTTTTTTTTTTCTTCTTCTTCCCGATGCTTTCTTTATGACAAAACTCCTCTCATGTGAAAATTCCGACATCATCTTTATTATCATTTGGTCGCGAGAACACACGCGAGCATGAATGATGAATGGAAGTTTAACAAGCGCGGTTTTATGTTTTCTTTGGAAAATCATTCCCAAGAAAGCGCATCATTATGTTATTTTCACAGAAAATTTGATGCGGTCCAAAGTATTTATCATGTTTATGTGCAAGACAAATTTCGCAACAGTTGGGATGAAAACATAAAAATTTTCACCACCGACAAAATGATATATTTTGAGCAATTTATTTTAATAAATAATTCATGGTTTGACGCACCATCTCAACCCCTTTTTTTCCCCCCGCCAACAAAAGGGGAGGCATTTTTGTATATTTGTGAAAATGTCAGACTTGCATATTTATGATGATGTGAAACAATATTGACGAGAAGAGCTTTCGAGAGAGAGAAAAAAAAATGCATAAATTCTATGCTCAGACGAGAAATTTTTCCTCGAAAGTCCCTAAAAATACTCTTGACATTGACTTTATGCTATGAAAAGTCACCTTAAATGACAATCGACGAGACTTGTTTGGAATTCAAAGGAATGTTTCGCTTCTTTATCCACTTTTAAAGGTCAAAACTAGAAAGTTTTTCCAACTACAAAACCCAATTATCGAGCGATTCTTGAAGTTCCGCCAAGAAGACGGAAAATGAAATCCCATTGAGAAACTCTTAGTCGCATAATAATCCTCTTAAGTGTCTGTTGATGAAATTGGCTCAATTGCCGCGCCCCTTTGTGGATATTGCGCGTCTCGCGGAGTCATCAAAGGAGTTTAAAATAATGTCTGACGGCGCGTCAGAGGCGCTGATTGAAGACTTTCCTCGACGCTGCCAAGCTAATTACTTTCTAATCAAGGGACCGCGCGCTTGACAGAAAAATGCCACAAGTGCAAAAGGAGTCAGTCTTGCGTAGCGAATTAATCTTGGGCGGATTTGGCGCCCAGGCTGAGGAATGTTGAGTGAAATTTGAGACAACACAAATCACTCTGAGGATCACCATTTCAAGGGGGCGAGGGAGGAATTGTGTATCCTTCGAGGACTCTCGAAGCCATGTGCCTCACACTCTCTCACCACTGGACTGGAAGTGTGCTCATCCTGTCCATCCTTGAGCCGTCGAGTGCCTCTTTTTGGAGAGCTCATTGCTGGGAGAGAAAAATCTCCAATGGCTGCAATTGAGTTCACTTCAGTGACTTGAGACAGAAGGAAAAGCGATTCAACTTGGAATAATTCAAACAAAATTGATGCTCTTCATGTGCTTTTCCCGTAGTTCATCAAAAGAAAAAGTCTTTATTAGATTTTTTTTTTCTTTTTCGTCATCTTCGCATAAGAAATACATCTCAAAGTCCTCTACGCGGAAAGCGAGAAAAGCTCTCAAAGGACGATGATAAGACCACTTAGACAGTCATTAATTTGTCCCTCTGCCAGCGATGCAATTGACCTGAGACTTCAATGCTTTTGGATTAAATTGCATTTGTTGCCTCTTGAGCAAATTTCCTCCCCCAAAAAGTGCGATTCATCGGCAATAAGGGGGAGATAATAGTGCTTGATTGTATACACCACTTGCTGACATTTCCAGAACTTCAAAAGTGTTTCAAACATGCCTTTTCCTTATAATTCCAAACGTATAATTTGTCATAACCTCAAATTTAAGAGTCTTTGTCTCAAAAAAGACGCTATTTTTATTTTTATGACCCTCAAAACTTACAGAGAAACAGTATTTTGGAAATATCTTGAGAAATATTGAAAGTTTCTAGCGCGTTTTCTGATGTAGTTCAATTTTCAATCGCTCTTTTGGAAGCATTGCATAACATAACCAAAAAATTACTTTAAGATATCTAAAATAATTCTTGATAGAAACTTATTTGAAATCTTTTAAAGGCAAGACTAATTGGCAATGAGCTGAATTTTGCTATTTTAGAGTAGAAATTCGATAAAACAGATCTTGAAAAAGAACATTTTTGCATTATGAAACAATATTTTTGAGGTTATGATCAATCTTAAGGCAATTAATACGTTTTAACACAGAATGCTTGTGATCTTGATATTCGTAAATTGTAAATTTCACCATCTTAGACACAAGAATGATTGATTTTTGTGTTTATTTAGTGGCAAAGTTTGTTTTAAATTCATAACATAACCTATAAAAATATGAAGAACAATTCTTTTTCTCCAATAATTGCGTTAATTCCTTTTGAAAGTGACTTTTGAACGCATCATATTGATGATATTCAAGCACTTTCACTTCCAAATACCTTCCACTAAATCTGTACACCACTTCTTACCACAATATCTGCCCCTTGATCGGCAGCGCGAGTCGTTTGAAATTCATTTGGACAGTTTGTTAACACAGGCAGCAGAACATGTGCGGCAAAGTGGTCGACTAAGCGCTCAACACTTTTTGCGACATATTTAAAATTCCACTCTTAAGCAAATCCCCTCAATCGAGACGTGATTCCCTTTGAATAAAACATTAACTGCTGGCGAGTAGTGGAAACGCACCCCCAAATTTGCAATTTGGCTACACGGAGACAATGAATAAAATTAAGAATATATTCCCTGATGATGCGTGTTTCTCTGCACATTGTCGTTGTTTTTTTTTCTCCTCATCTTCCCAATCCACTCAGCGCCCGGAAAATTTGATGGGACTTTCCACACAATTGTCTACAACACGGCGCCCCACGGGCAGAGGCGGCGGCGGCGGTGGGGGGAGGGAAAGTCATGTAGAAGATCGCACATAAAGAGGAAATTGAGATAAAATTGGAAAATAAATAGAGGAGCATATCATGACCCTCGAGGCGCATCGCAGAGGTGGCTTCTGAAATTTTGGATACTGGCGAAACTTTTCCTTCTCTATCTTGAGTCCTCCCGAGCGCCTCGGAGGGTGGGTTATAGCGATTTTCCCTCTCACCCCCTTGCGCTAAACACCTCTCGGGAGTTGCAGGGTTTTGGGGGTGTGTGTGTGTGTGCGAAATTGAATTAACAAAGTTGCACAAATTTCTGCATTACTCCCTTCCCCGTTCCAAAAAACACACCCATCACGTCGCGACGGTGCGGAAATTCGGAGGAAAATGCGAATTAATCCCAAGTGTATTCAACACAATACCTGCAGAGTAATATTTCCTGACAATCTCTGGTTACCATTCCCACCAAATCTCCTTTGTACTTCCTCCGATACGTTCAAAAATCGCGCGAGCCGCGAAATTTGCATACAACGTTCTAACTTTCGCGCGAAATCTGAAATTCAAAAGCATAGCGGATAATTCCCCAGCTGAAGAGCACTATTGATGACTCTCACTTCTCTACATTGTCAACATCGCATTCAGACAGATTAAATATCTTTATGGACAACATTTATTCATTACAGAAATACTGTAATTAATTGCAGAGTGAATTGATCGAATTGATTAATAGCAAATAATCAAGTTAAAATTGTTTATTTCGTAATTTCATGATGGAATTTACATCGCTTCCCATTCAGGAAATTTTATTAAGTAGCCCATGAAGTTTGAATTCTCTCAAGGGGGAGATAATGTTCCTGACACTTTTAGAACTTGAAGTTTTTAAACTGTTTCCACATTCATTCCCAATTTGTTATGAATTTCTTAACTTTCCATCCGATATTTCTGTAGAAATTGACTTAAAAACGCATTTTTGAACATCTTTTCCGATCATAACCTCAAAAATATCACTAAGAAATCTTTAAAAACTCTGCTTAGAAGCTTTCTAGATCACAAAATGATCTAGTTTTGATTTGCCAATGAAGTCAAAAATGCTGATTCAGATTCAAAATCGCCCAGAATATTTTCCAAATCATCATTTTCCACGTCTAAATGATTATTTTTGAGGTTATGCTCGAATTCAATACAATTTTCTCTGTCTTTTAGCGTCAGAAGTTCAGAAAAGCACTGTTTATTGTCTGTTAATGCTTAATTCTGCCAATTGATGTGATAGAATGCAAACTATTCTATAAATCGTTCCTTGATTCGTTACATAACCTAGAAAAATGATTTTTATCATTGATTCTGCGTGAAAACCAATAATTTATGATAATTTGTGAGTGAATGAAGCACTTAAAAAAGGAATATTGAAAGCTTCTCAATAACTTTCAGTTCTTAAGTACTTCTGCTGATCTGTACACCACTTGTGACTGTATTATCTCCCCCTTGATCGTACACAATGGGGTGGATTTTCCCATTGAAAATACATGAAGAGCGACACATGAAGAACTCTCAATAGATTGTCCTTTAAAACAATGCGATTTTCATTTTCTATTTTCATTCATAGCACATTTTCAGGATTTTTATACAATCAAATCTATCAAGAACAACGCCTGCAATTTTCCATTATTCAATTTCTATGCGAAAAAAAACTGACATTCATTGTCTATTTGATGCTGGCAAAAGTGGTTTGGATGAAAGTGTGACAGGACATTGTTAATGGTTAGGGGAAAAGCCACACCGCGAATTTACCTTTTCAAATAGTGTGATTAATTCAGATTATTGGCCATGCTGCCAACAATAAACAGCCCCTTTCCCAAACGAGAATTGGGTGACTTTTATGTGTGCCAACGCGCGCGGTCTCAGCTATATACATCGCGTACATAGAGACAAATTGGAAATGATTGATTTTGATGAGGCCGGAACGAGTGGAGCAATTCGTTTTAAAATTTCATCTCCAACAGACGCACGATGCTTGGCACTATGGGCGGTGTAAACACGAGAAGCCAGACTCCAATTATAGATTCTGCCTTCACAGTATATTGCCGAAGTGTATTGAGTGTGTGTTTTGCGGGGGAGATGAAAAAATCATGCTAAAACGAGGCGTTTTCACCCAGCATTAGCGGGCGCGCGCGCCTGCAAAAAGGCGCCTAATGATAGGGGATGGGGGTGGCAATGTAGTGGCGAAGGCGCAGCAATTAATTATCCAACGATCTCCATTCAACCACATGTAATTAATTGTGCAATCCACCGTGAAGTCATAATAAATTCATGCGCGTGTATAAATATAATCCCGTCCAACACGCGTCCAAATGAATACACGTCGTTGTTGGAAAATTGCTCGAGTGCACGGGCGTGAATGGGAGTGCGTGCGAGATTCGTGAGAGCATCTCGATGTTTACATACAAATGACTCTATTGCCATGGCATCCACAATGCCAAAAATGCCCCGATGGGAATCTCAAATGGTGTCTAGACCCTGGAAACGTGCCCCGTTTGCCACACTCTCTCTCTCCCTCTCTCTCTCTCTCTGGCGAGATCAGAATTCAATTCATGCCAAAATTATTCAACAATTCTCAAACTATAACAGCACAGAATGGCACGGAACTTTCCCCAGGAACACCGCAAAAACATCCAAATTTCCATTCATCAGCTTCGAGAATTTTCACTCGGATTTACTCATTGAGTCCTTGATCCGCTTATCATCTTTTGTGCGATCATCAGCCATGCTGAGTTCTTTTATGCACGCGAATCCGCGGCTTAGAACTCGCGAAGAGCGATTCAAGGAGGAGATAATACCACTGAACTGTGTACACCTTTTCCTGACACTTTCACAATTCCTGTGAAGAATCACAGACACTTTCAGAACTTCAAAAGTGCTGAAAACATGCGATTTCATGTATCATAACCTCAAATTAAGGCGTCTTTGTCCCAAAAAAGACACCATTTTTACTTTTATAACCCTGAAAACTTACAGAGAAACAGTATTTCAGGAATATTAGAAAGTTTTTAGTGGACATTTTGATGTGATTCAATTTTCAATTGCTCTTTTGGGAGCATTTCGTAACATAACCTAGAAATTACCATAAGATATCTAAAAGAATCTTTGAGAGAATCGACAATGAGTTGAGATTTTCTATTTTAGAGTAAAAAAAAACAATCAAACAACGCTTAAAATAGGCAATTTTGTATCCTGTAACAATATTTTAGAGGTTATGATCAATCTTAACCTGATTAACACAGTTTAACATTGAAATCTTGTGATTTTCGACAAATTTAAGCACAAGAATGACTGATTTTTGTGGTTTTTTAGTGGCAAAGGTTGTCTTAAATTCACAACATAACCTAGAACTTTCAAATACTTCTATTGATTTTTGTACACCACTTCTGACCATAATATCTCTCCCTTGGGCAGATGCATTTCGCGGAAATCAGTGTTGGAAGAGCTTATTAAAGTGCGTATCCTGGAACTACAGGCGCTCTTGCTGGGAAATCTTCGAATAGATTGTCAACATCTTCATTAACCCTTCGCATTTGATGACAGAGAGGAAAATTGTGTGTTCTTTTGCACACAAAGTTGTCATGCAAAGTGGCACAACTGGGATTTCTCTCGGCTTTTCCAATATCACTCAGCGTATAAACTCTGGCTGTGACGATCTCCGTGTCCTCAGCAATTAAAAGCCCATAAATCTCTGGCGGCAGAAGGTATCGTGTCTCGCAGTCTCACGGAGAGTCTGAAGGTTAGTGAGATGTGTGAGGTTTTGTCGCGTCAACCCTTGTTTGGGACTTGCGCGGTTTGCCGAGGGATCTTCTCCACTTACCACTCTTTCCCACCCCGTGGGCACCAATAACAGCGATTTTCACCTCAGAGAGCGATGATTTCTTCCGTCTTATGCCACGCGACGTCATTTCACGCGGCGCACAACTTCGCGCGCCCTTTTCCCTGGCGCTCTTCGCAGGGGCGAAAATGCGCTCGACACGGCGGCACTCGAGCGTCACGGATGCCACACAACACTTTCACATGACACGGATGCAGGCGAGCGTGAGGATTCTGTGGCCGCAGGACAGATTCACGCGGACTCGTTTTTTCTGGCGCTCTCGCGAGCTTAATTAATTGGCACAACTGATTGGCGAGAGGAGCAAGCCAGATCAGCTCTTCCACTTCGCAACGACCGCCGGACTCTGACGGAAGAAACACGGGTAATTTTAGACATACCCGAAAAATTTTCCCAAAACACACTTTTCAACAATATTTATTTAAATACCACATGGTCGCCGATGCGCTTGTGTGTTTGGGACGCGGGAACTCCTGCGTGGGCACCTTTGCCGAAGGCAGCTTGCATCCTCGTCAATCACTTGGCAAATGCGCGATTATCGCCACTGATGCACGCTCGTGAGCGTGCGAAGCCTTGCGATGCTCCATTTCCGTGGCAAATGAGTCGAGAGATATTAAATTGTTTACACTTTTGCACACAAATTCCTCGTCGACGGTTTTATTGGGTGGCTTTTAAACTGACTCAATCGACATCGAAAGCAGCCAAGACGCGCGCGTGAAACAGAAGTTTCGCACAACATTCTGTGTTTCACTTGTGCATCACTTGAGAGCTTCTGCAGCCTGTCAGCTTATGCAGCATCGACATTCAACTTGAAATTCAACCATGCATGAAAACTAGTTTAATTCGACTAATGGAGCAATTCTCAGTCACACAAGAAGTGTAAAACATGTGTTATTATGATTTAACACACGTCTTTGCTATTTTGAGTCACTCGTGTAAGGCTCAAAATGGAGATTGTGTTGTGTTATTTGCTATTATGGCTGAAATCTGTTAAATCATTTTGTGCTGTTTTAATGTATAATTTTAACACGATCTTCAGAAGTTATTTTTGTGATTGTGTCAAAAACAGACAGAATAACTTGCAAAGATGGATAAATCTTCAATTGTGACTCTAATTTTCAAATATAAACATGATAAATATCTGCAATTCATTCTTTTTATCACAGATTTTCTCATTTTTTACTTGAATTTGAAATAATTTTAGCAAATTTCACAATTTTCTCTTCTCTTACACATTGAGAAATCGGTGAAATCGCTTTAAAAAACTCTCAAACACGGTTTTAGCGAGAATAGCAAGAGATGTTTTTCCTTATTCATTTCGAATGTTAAACTTTTACATATCAAAATTTTAACATTTCTGGTGTTTTATTAGGAATTGATGCATAATTTGCCCTAAAAATTGCGCATTTATTTGTATTGTTTTCAAAGTATTATTAAATTCGTCCAATTCTGGCGTTTATTTGAAGTTTTTTCAAAGTGTTTAGCAAGTTTTCATCCAAATATTCAAACGATCGAGATGATTTGCATAAAGAATATTAACACAGACAATTTATTCATGTTAGATGAAAATTCCAAATGAATCACGTTTTGCATAAAATTACCAAATTTCGGAATTCGCGTGACGTTCTGAAGTCTTTTCTCTCGCGTTTGCAAACGAGTTTCTGCAGAAGTTGATCTGCGGCGAAGTGACATTTCTGGAGATTTCCTCTGACGCCAAAGCACAATTCATCCTTTTCAATATGATTTATTATATATTTATACAGAGCACTATCATTTACACTCATATTTAAATCTATATATACATATCATAAATTTCTTTTACTTTGTCATTATGATCCAACATTTATAATTTATATATAATAGATTTTCTCATAACAATACTTTTTTTTTTTAATAATGGGGATCAAAAATCTTGCTCTTCTTCTTCTTCATTTTTCTTCCTTTTTTTCCAATCCAAATCGACCAATTATTATTAGGCTCTCTTCACAAATAATTTTCTCTTTGCTCATTCTTTCCTGCATGCAATGCTATTAAATTCTTTAAAGTTTGCCTTAAAAACACTTAAATTGCGTGCGCGCCGCTGACCTGCGCCAGCTAAACTTGAAGCATATCTAGCGAGAAGTTACTTAACACAGTTTACAAATAGGGGCGCGAGAGGGACTTCTTTTATATACACAGAGCGATAGAAAAGAAATTGGCGGTCATCCCTCACTCGCAGTGGGTGCTCGTGGCCCTCGGGGGTGGGTCTCTGAGGCAAAAGGTCAGAGTCCTCGAGGTGTGAGGTGTGCACGTGGAAAACTTGCTCAATGGTGCAATCTGAGTGCGCTAATCTACACACAAGATCTACAAATACCTAAAACTAAGCGCTAAACACAGAGATTTGCATTTGGAAAAATGTGACGATAAAATTCACTCTCACATGACGTTGCTGTTTGTTTTTTTTTTGCATCTCGTGATCCAGGGGGTGTGTTTTCGGGGGAGTTCTTTTGGGTTTGAGAACTTAAGCCTAGTGAGATATTTGGTCCAAAACAATCATTTATGTGGGGGGGGGGGAGAGAGAAGAACGAAAGGATGCGCGAAGATGTTGGCTTTGAAGAAATAAATTAAAGGGGAACTGCTGGCGACTCGTGCTTAGCAGAAGGGCTTCCCCAGCTTGTCGATAGCATTGGTGAGGTGGAGGATCTCTGTGTTGAGCTGAGCCACGAGTGTGTGCAGCTTGTCGACTGAGTCCAGCACCTCGACGCGCTCCGTGTGCGGATTGAAGCGCACCTCGAAGGGTCGCGACATGGTGGCAACCCAGCGCCTGAACTTCTCCTTGGCATCCTCGAAGCTCTCCGCCACGTAGTAGATGGGCTGATACTCCTGGTCCTGATACTTCTGCACCGCCGTGGAGGCCGGCTCGAATGGGCGAAGCTCCGGCTTGTCACTGAGAGCGTGCAGAAGCTCTCCGTAGGCCGACAACAGGCCAGCGCCGTACGCCTTCACCTGACCCTGCTCCTTGCACAGGCCAAACTCCACGGTGAACCAGTACACCTGCAGACAAGCACAGAGAGACCTCGTGTTAAATTCACAAAACCCAAAGAAACATCCGGTGATCGTAAAGCATGTGTTTGATTTACGAATTATTGCACAACAAAAGTGCAAAAATTGCATTCACCGCAGTGGCCAGAACACACCGGAGAAACAATCACACAGTATCTATTCATCATCGCGTCTAATTAGGTGCCATTCAAGTGTGGTCACTCACTGAGGGACCTTGTGCCATTTCTTCTCTTCACAAACACGAAGCCATTGGTTGACTTACCGTGGCGAGTTTCTCAATCTCCTCATCGGAAGCACCGAGAGACGCCAAGCCAATCTCCTGCGAGAACTGGGCAAAACTGGGATCGCCCAGCAAGGGCTGATGTCCGATGATCTCATGGATGGCATCGCTGTGGAGAGAAAATACCTGTTAAGACCGTTAAGACACTCATTTTGGCAAGAAATTGCAATTTCATCAGGTCAGGACGCATCAAATTTGACCCAGAGACCGATTTCAAACCTACTCAGGGCTTGGAAACCCACCCTAGTTTCACATCTCATCCCACAAGAGTCAAGATATCCGGTAACATTCTGGTTTTAGGCCGATTTCCTCCTCTCCAATTCCCAATGCTTCTCACATATCTGATATATGGGTCAGCGCTGACGGCCATCCGCCCCCTCCATGTCGCCCGGTAAAATGTTTTCTTAGAAATTGCCCCCCAAACAAGGCGATGTTGCAATGGAAAATTGCTTGAACAAAATGAAAAGTATGCAGAAAGCATGTTATGACCTTTTTGCCATATAGATTTGGAATTCCATATTCCGTTTTTTTTTCAACCTCAAGATCATGCGCGCGTTGTGATTTTTCGTTCCTTATTTTTGGTTGTTTTCTTCTTCTTCTTCTACAAAAAAAATGTCTTTTTATGGAAAAAGTGCATCTCAAAGTGCTTTTTTGGGTTAATTTTTGCATAAAAACATAAACAAGTGTTTCTTTTTTGCGTGGGAAAAAGATGCATTTCTCACGCTACGCTAGCCGAAGAGTGCCTGACACACTTTTCTTCCTCAGCAATTTTGCCCATCCGTCGAGTGTTGTGCGAGACAACGAGCAATTTTCCCTCGACAATCGACTATCTTTTTATCAATTTCCCACCCCGTTGGGGAGCCTGACTGAGTGGATGGAATTTGTAATGTCATTAATGTGAGATCAATTACAAGCGACAGTGGCGAAAAAGACGCCCTAATAGAGACACAGGGAGAGAGAGCAACAGTTGCCAGGAAGCCATTAAGGGTGGAAATAGTTGCAAAGTTGGCAGCTTCATCAAATTAAGGGGGTGGCGAACAGAGTGATGGAGATCAAAGGCAAAAGCGGGTACTCACGGCTCGGGTGTGTGGTAGGGTGTGTTGTAGTGTCGCACATATTGGGTGCTCTGGAAGATGCGGAAGGCCAGCGAGGCTAGGAAGTCGCGGGCTGTGAGGAGGCCGGCGGCCGGGCGAAGGGTGAAGCCGGTGTTGCGGCGCAAGAAGGAGCTCATCTCCTCCAGCTGCGGCATGTGATCATCGCAGAAGATGCCCTCCTCCTCCAGCTGCTGGAACACGCGCCTGTACTCAATGCACGCGTGCTTCGGGATCAGATCCTTCACCGTCCTGAACACGGCGCCCCACGTCTTGTTCTCCGCCTCGGTGTACTCAATATGGGGAATGGGATCGCCGTACTTGTACGCGAAGGCGATCTCGGCGATCTCCTTGCGACGCGCCCTGTACTCCTTGTCCGCGAATCCAGGATGATTCATGTCCAGATCTGGCTCGTACTTGGTCATCAGGTGGTTGCAGTTGTCCAGCTCTGAGGCGTGCTTGGGGAACCACGGGGTCTTCAGTGTCACATTCTCGTCGGCGAGGATGTTCACGCTGCCGAAGGAGTTTGTCTGGCGCAGGGCGCGGATGAGCTGAAGCAAGTTGGCACGCGACATGTCCACCTTGGCCAGCACATCGAATTGCACACCGTCGGCGCGCGAGGGGCGAGACTCCAGGTGCACCACGGTGCCGTGGAAGGTCTCAATCGCCTTGAGGATGCGCCCCAGAGAGCCCATGCCATCGCGCAAACGCACCACCAGAGCGGCGCGCTGGACCTTCTTCTCCGCCTCAGGAGACTCTGAAGCTGCGTTAGCCAGGAGGACTTCATCTTCCGTGAGTCCACAATCTGCGAAAAAAGAGCGACAAAAGCTTGAGACTCAGTCAAATCGCATCGCAAGATGATTTGAGGAAAATGAGCCGAAATTATTGAGTCCGAGGGTCGTGAAAGGGTTGAAAACTCCCAAAAACTTCTTCTCTGCCTTCACTGCCTCTACGGCACCTTCACAGCTGAACTTGATCGTCTTTCAAGATCACTAGTCATTGAAAACATAAGGTTGAACCTCTCGCCAACCTTTCCAAGGCGACATGAAACTCAATTTGGAGCATGAAAAGCCAATAAAACACTTTTTTGCGCAATTCCACTCAAGTGACTCCTTCTCATGTGGCGACAATGAGATTTTTCACCCTCCATTAGGCGAATATCTTTTTTTTTTTTCTTCTTCTGTGGAGGTGGAAAATCTCTTGACTTCTCTCTCACAATTTCTTACAATATTTCGAGCAATGAATTGTGGGGACAAGAAAAGCGGATAAAGAGCTCACACAAATCCATATTCCACTTTAGACATCATTCCTGCATTTCACTTGGGGTGCGTTTTAGTGGGTGGCAAATGGATGGGAAAGTATGATGGAGTCTTTTTCTCTCCTCCTCCTTCTCCAAGGCACAAGACATGAATTCCAGTCTTAAGTGACGACACTTAAGCGTGGGGGTTTCGCTCTGCGAACTTACCGTTTTCGATTGGCGTCCCGTGACTTTCCGGGGTGATTTCTTCGTCATCTGACTTGTCAAATACATCATCAACTAAAGGAAGCACAAAATGAAAAGAAAATGTATAAAAAACCATGCAAAATAATAAAGATAAATAAAAAAAACTAACCCGCAATGCTCTCTCCATTCAAAATATGGACTTTATCATCTGGCGAAGGCAACACAGCGTCACAAATGCAAATGGAAAATATAAATAAAATATATATAAATAAATAGGAAATGAGGCACAACCGAAGGCGGTTGGTTTTGAATAAGGAAATTGGCCAAGCTCTCCTCACCTTGAGATACATTTTGGAGTTCATGGACCTGACTTGAAAGGTGGCAGTCATCGAGTGTATCTACAAACATGCAATGCGACATTTAGCATAAAGACGCAAACGGAAAAAAAGAGAGAGAAGGAAAGGCGCTGCAAAGACGGATGGGGACTCACCATTAGCTCGCTGGCGAGCCTCCTCCAGGACAGATTGTTTGGTCTGCTTCACGACCAGTGTCTCGAAGCGGGCGTCGTCCACGAGGGAGCGGCGACGAGATGGATAACCATTCTGCGGAGAAAGAGAGAGAATTGATCGCTCATGAGTGGGATTTTCACTCAAATTGCCCCTCAGGGGGAAAGTGTGGACAGGAATGTGGGTTAAGAGTGGTTTCCGCTGGTGGGAATCGAGGGAATTGTCTGTGGCGAGATGCCCGGAAATGAGTTCAATTCAAGTCTGTCTCTTTCACTGACTCTCATCATCCACGATTTCCGCGCGTTCAGAAACTTTTGCTTTGCAGATGATAAAAATAACCCCCCCAGAGATGGACAGATTGTCTACCGTGTAGGGAAAGAAAAGGAGTCGACAGAGCGTGTAATATTTTATATATTGCAGGAAGTTTCAGTCAAGGAAAGATGTAATTTTACCGGAAAATATGAAGAGTCTTGAGATAAGAGAGATTATTCATGAATAAGGGCGAATTTTGGCACAATTATTCAGTTAGTTTGAAGGAAATTCAAGTAAAATCCTCGAAATACACAAAATTTACCCTTGTTTCGGTTACAAATCCGACTAAAATAGATGAAATACTTCTCTTAAGGCTAAAAATATGCCATTTTCGTAAATAATTTACAGGTTTTCCCAATCTAACAGGGTTCCTTGGGGTCAATAATGAATAAAAAATACCATTGACGATAGAATTACTTGTTCTTTGGTCCCCTTTTTCTTGTGGTAGAAAGAAGCAAAATGATGACTCATGTGAAAAATGACTTGATTTAATATTCACACAGTTTGTAAGATAATTTCCAACAACTTGTCTGTAATTATTGACATTCTTGTGGTCTAATTTTCAAATCTCAATCACTTGTGTGACTCTATTCGCGTGCTCGTCAGTGTAATATTGTAGACAATCGGGGGAAAAAAAAGAATTGTGTAATCTGCAAAGTGATGGGAAATTTCCCCATAAAATCAATCGGAGGACCAGTTGAAGTACAGCGCGAAAATATCGCGTGCCGGAGGATTTTGAGTGGATGACATTGAATTCTTTCATTCAAGAAAATATAGCAGTGTTGGAAATCAAATGGCTCCCGTGTCTTAATTAGACCAAGGAGACCACGCCAGTTCCAGTCAAGTGGAAGAGAGATATATTTATGGCCTCACGATGGCGCTCCAGATTGTGTATTTTGTGTAGATTTTTCAGCGCATGTCACAAGATCACAAGTGCGTGTTGATTAATGCACCTCTGCCGATGACGGCCTTGCACCACAATCTCGCTGAGGACCATGTGATCTTACGTGTGATCTTGTCCCTGTATCTTGGCACGCACACTCACTGGGTGAGAGTGGTGGAAGAAGATGCGAGAGCAGAAATGGTGTGAGCAAACTGAAAGCTCTTCTTCTTTGGCAAATAACACGGGCATGAGAATGAAGATGCCTCTTGGCGCGCGCGCGCGCTCAACTTTCGATCAATATTTGATCCGCGCGCGCGCGCGCGCAAAAAACGCGGCAAGATCAACAAGATCACCCCCAGTGAGATGAGTGAGAATCCCTCCAGTGAAATTGTGCCTCTCTTTTCACTGCCGAGGAGATCAATATTGGAGGCTCAGGCCCACAGAGTGTCCGAGTGGACGGGAGAGAACCAGTTGAACTGCATTGGAGAGCTTCAAGGTGACTCTTTGTACACACAGTTTGGCCACAATCGGTTTCCAATGCCCTTTTATAATAGCTACCATTTTTACAATTAATTACCGTTCCCCCAGACCAGATACAACAGCCCATCGAGGCTACAATTTGCGCCAAATCAGAGCCCCCAATTGGCTGTGCTTGATGTGAACTTATGTAAGATCATCTCTCGGATGCCACAGACTTGCGAGGAATTTTTCTCGCCAATCTTTAATGCCACGGGCAAGGTTCATCAAGTTCAACACAACTCCGGAGACCGAATTTAGCACTTTCACCATTTTTTTTTCTTTGCCACTCACCTCGATGCTGTAGGATTTTTTGATAGCGAACATTTCGCGATTTTTCTGTGCAGCTGCAACGGCCATTGTGGGTGTTTGATTGAAGAGTGGGGAAAAAAAAATTCAACACACAATTTCACAGGACAAGAAAGATGAATTGATTTTGATGGCAAATCCTCGCGAACGCCTAAACACTGAGAATTTCCTTGCGATTTGATGCTCGTAAAGGATTCTCGTGGTATCACTGCGTTTCTCCTTTTTATCGGGGGGTGGGGAGTGGTCTACTTGGGCGAGCGTTGGATCCTCGATAGGAATTAGTTGTCTAAGTCCGCTTTTTTCTGCTCTCACGAGATCGTGCGGGTCACTACACTTGAGAACACGGGGAGAGACTCAAGTTGATTTTGGGGGGAAAAAGCGAATAATTACAACAATTCTATCGACTGTGGACGCGTGGATGCAAGCAAACCAATGCATTGCTCATGGGCTCCGTCTCACTTTAAATACTCACCACGAGTGGGTCCGACTCGGCTCAGCCCCTTCCACTTCTGGCTCGCTGGCTCCTTTCATTGTTGCGACACGAGGTAAGTGTGATGTCACGCGTGCGTCATGGAGACGCGGCCGCCGATTGGCCGGCCGCGCGGGGGTCACCCCCACCGCGGCTCCAGCGTCCCCGCGCGGCCGCTGGGGCCCCGGCGAGGTGCGCCCCGAGCCGCACGATCAGTCCACCGCGGACGCTGTGCGCGCCCGGATTTTCCGAAGCGCGCGCGCCTGGGAATTTTCCCTGGCCAGAGATCGCGCCTCTCATGCGAGTCAATGATCGCCCACCGGAGAGTTCATGGGAAACACACTCTGTGATGTGCAATCTCGCCACCTGGCCAGTCAGCTGTCGCGCAGGGGAATCCCAAGAGGCGGATCACATCGCGTGCCGGGCTTTTTCTGCACCCAAATAATGCAAGAGTTGCGCAAATTGGGACACCTGAGATTTCGACGGGGAAAACCGACCTTTTGGGCCTTTTTTCCAACTCTCTGTGAAATTAATTGAGATCAATCGATGGAGATTTCAAAGGTGGGAATTTTGGGCAAAAGAAAAAATAAACAAAAAGACACACTTTATAATATATTCGGCAGGAGAATTTAGCGAGACTGAATTAACATTTTTATCGCATTTTAGTCTTATGCATCATATTTTCTAGAATTTGGAAAAGAAAACGCTGTGAATATATAATGAATTCTTTGACTCTTCGCCCACTTAATCTGCTTTCATGCTTTGCTTTGCGCGACTTGCATTCATAAGAATATGAATTTATGCCAATATTCAATTATGAAAGAACATAATTTTAAGGGTTATTATTGATTAATTCAAGGCAATTCAAGGAGAGATAAAACTTAATGAAACTAGGAAGTTTCATTCTACAATCTTGATGTTTTCCGAAGAACTTTATAAGTAAATTACATTTTTTTTCTTCTTCTTGCAAATGAAGCGGAAGATTTGAAGAATACACAACAGACATTAAAGTAACTTACGAAATCTGGACAATAGATTTGTGTGCAAACAAAGAATCAATTACACAATAATGACTTGTGATTTGCAATTAATCTACACTGTAAGTCTAGAGTATATTTCTTGATAAATCCAGTAATTTCCCACAGTGGCAATTTTGAGAATATAACCAAAATATCACTTCTTAATTAACCGGAAAAATGCCATAAAAGTGGTGCTAATTAATTTTACGCAACTGATTTTTGCACAGCTCTTCTTCAAATAATTCACACTCACAATTTAATCACCCTCAAATAAACACTGGCCGTAAAAGTGAGGCATAAAGAGCTGTTTTTTTCAATTTGAAATGTTTCCAATCCACGAAGCGACTGGAAAGATGGAGTCAAATTGCCAAACAAATCTCTCACGGAGGTGAAAAGTGCATAATAATCATAAATGCATAAGAGAGCCTTTCGGTGTGATGAAATTCCAGAACAAAATTGCATTTCTTGCAGGCCACTTTCTTTTCAATCTCACGATGGCCATTTGGAGAGTGCACTCGAGATGTCACGTCTCGGCTCAAGTGGGCGAGTTTCTCGAAAGGTTTTCCCTTTCGCATTGCCCAATTTGACCAGCGCGCGCTCTGTGTGTGTTATCCAATCTTTGGGTGTTGCTCCCGGTGGCCCAGGAAAAAAAATCACCGATAAACACGGGGCAATTTCGCTGGTGATCTTTTGGCATCGGGGAAGTCGGCGCTTGTTTACAAATCGGCACCGCAAGAGAGGCCAGAAACACCATTGGAAACATGGGGAAGTCACTGGCAACCGGTTGAATGTTGACGAAAACTCGTGACGATGGACAAAAGTCACGCATTTGCATCATAGATATTTCAGCGCACACGCTCGCTTTATGTGTGTGAATCACACAGTTCGTGAGCTGGAATGGGGATTCACACACCCCTCAATTCAATGGGTTGTCGAGTGTCCTCAGCGCGCCGATCAGGACACGGGGACGAAGCCAAGAGTCCTTCATGTCAGCAGCAGGCGAACCCAGCCAAAAACCCCACAATCGATATTGGAAATTGCGGGCAAATTCTGGCCGCCCGCGAAGAACTGTATCAACACGGCGATGAGTAAACAGTGGAAAAATCTGAGAGATCGCCTGTTGACCGCGGAAAGACACTCCCAACTTTTGATTTACCTGCTCACACATCGCTGGAAATCCCAAAGAGGCTCTACACTCGCGAAACGTTGACCTGCACACATCTTTTTTGCCGGACACTTCTTGCCTCTTGTCTGCAAAATTAATTGTTTGCTCTCTCTCTCTCTCTCTCGTGCTCCGCATTCATCAAGATATTGTCATATTTTAATGGTCAATAAGCTTTTTTCGGCAAGCTCTTAATTGATTCCAGACAAGCACTTGGTAAACGCATTTTATTGTGGTGGTTTTAAAGCACTGTTGGCAAAATTAAAAACATTGATGTCCTCATAAAAGTGAAATTGTCTGTGCTGCAAAATCGTCCAGACTCCACCCATTCGAATGCCCCGCCCATTTGGAGGCTCATTTTATATCCTAGCATTTAAATTCAAGGGGAAAACTACTAGTCGATTTTTGAGGAATCTTAATGATCTAAAAATAATCAAAAATTGAATATTTTCAGCAAAATATTTAAATAAATTAAATTATATTTAAATAAATTCTGATTATTTTATTAAAATTTAAATATATTTAAGTATTTGATCATATTCTCCGCATATCGCCGCCAGAGGGCAGCAAAGTTAGCGTGGGGGACGCTAATAATATCGAATTTTTCACATATTTGGTCTCTTTTTTCATACATTCTCACACTTTATGACTTCCTGACGTGATCCTGGTAAGGAAAGAAGGCAATTTTAACTCAAGAATGATTTTTTATGCGTAGAAAAAGCCTGGATTAATCATCAATAATCAGCTGATCAAGTGTGAAAGGCATGTAGAAGATCCTATTGTATTTTACAGAGCCAAATTTGAGCCTTTAGATATAATAAAAAATATTTTATGTGTTAAATAAACAGCAAATATTTTAATTCATCTTTTTTACAAATTTCATTTCACTGGAGTTATAAAATTTAACACTATTAACAAATTATTTAAAGGTGTAAAAAACGGCCAAATTAGCATATTGTTGAAATTGTGCTATAAATTGGTTTAGAGGAAATAGAATCTGAACTTCTATATGCATTTAAACTGCTGCTCTCTGGCGGCCAAAAACGATTAAAAAAAATTGAATAATCACAAATTTAATAGTCTGAAATCGCGAGTGATTTTTGTATATTCTCAGAAAAATTGCATTTACAACCTCTTTTGCTACTGAATATATAAATGAAATAAGCCAGAAGCTTTTCAGTTGAGAATTCTAGTAAAAACCGGACTCTTTTGGGTTCCTTTCATTTCCTCCTCGGCTGGCGAGAGAACCTCTCGCTTCCTCAAATAAAAGAGTTTCGCCAGGAGAGTGGCGCAAAGAAACGGAAGTTGACCACTAAATGGCTTAACATTGACTTCTGGCTAAGCAGAAATTATCTGCAATATATTGCCAGAAAAAAAACAGAGATAAATAAAACACCCGAAACATGATGGGAATTCTCCAGTTGCGCGCGCTCTTTAATATGCCAATCAACCTTGTATCACTTTAATTGCCTTTTGTACGATTACTCATTTAACTGCAAATGTTCATGTGATATCTCAAAGCTGTAATTCACTGTTTTTTTTCTTTACTTTGCAGCTCAATCTGCTGGACTTACAGATTGTATTATTGTAACATGATGAAATCTATTCGCCTAATCATGCCACTTCTCGATGATCTAAACAGAATGCAATCATTGGGATTTTCTCGCTTTTCATTTCACAGAAGAACACTTTCTCGTAAGCCTTGAGCTCAAAGCATCAGCGCAGTTAGACTTTGTGGGTTTTACAAAACTGTCAATTAGCACTTCAAGTGTGTGTGTGTGTTTGAGTGCCTTTAAAAATCCCCATTGACAGGGAATTTTGCAGGTGGCATTATTCATATCTCAGGCATTTTTTTTTTGTATAGTTTTCTACCCGACGGAGCAAAAAATGTGATACAATTAAGAAGCCTGAAAAAAATACGAGGAAGATTCAGAAGACTTGCGCTTTCAAAAATTGTGATTCCCCGAAAGTTGTGGTCGAAAAAAAGAACACAAAAGAGCATCGGGAAATCCCAAAGATGCATCGCGCAGAGCATAATAATCTTAATTGCCAGTGCTTTTCTGATGCAAAATTCCCCAGAAGTTTCCAGTGCAGAGCATGAAAATTGCATCAAAAGGCTTCTTTGCACACTTAAAGATAGAGACAATGAAAAAGAGGCGAATTGCAAAATGAAGGAAGTGTAATTGCATAAAAGTAATAATTGACTGTGAGACTGCACTTTATGAGTGCTTTTTATGCTACATTCTCAGAATCATTCATCGTGCAATTCTTCTCAGAAAGGAGCTTTTCTACAAGGCGCTTTGATCTGCCCCAGCAAGCCAAAGAAGGTAAGAAAAAGCAGCATATTTTGCTGAAAAGTGCTAAAGTAATTGAGCTAAAATTTTAGCAGCCCTTGAACAATAACCCAAGCGATCCTAGCGGACAATAGAAGAAACTTAAGAGCGTTACAAACGCAACAATTTCAAACAAAATATTTAACCGCAATTTCTACGCTTCAGTTAGCTAATTTCTAATCAATAAAATGAATTATTCGATTTTTACCTGTTTTTCGCTTAATATTTAGCTAAATTTATTGCTTTCTTCTGATCAAAACTTAGCAAGGAATCAGAATGTCAAATTTTCATTAACTTTACTGCATCTTTAAAGCTTGAGAACTTGAAGACACTTGAGTGTTGTTGTCACGAAGTATATTATTGAAATGGCATAGATTAACATGATGCGACATCTATGCATTTAAGTGCACATCAATTACTTTCACTGATCGTCGCTGCGTTCTTAGCAAAAGAACGCCAAACAATTAGCTTTTCAAATCTCAACT